TTTGTTTGGTAGGCATATTGAAGGTGTCTGATATGGTTTGTTTGGAAGGGATAATGAAGGTGGGGGGTGGTCGGGCTCCATGTGTGGCTGGTCTGGACTGGCATTCCGGGCATTTTCCTGTTGGACGAATGGGTTCGTGGGCCAGTAAAATTCATCTTAGGGACCGCTTGGTTTGGATGTAAAAAGTCTGCATCCTAGGAAGCAGGCATGTTGGAAAAACAAAGAAATGCTGTTGTGAGCTAAAAAGAGCCCATTTACGTTTAGCTGGATGTTTGCTGTGCTGACCAGCACTGGCTCTGGCATGTAGTCTGGAAATAATTAGCCTTGTAAGAAATCCGTGACTATGTCAGAATATAAGCGCCTATGAATTTAAGAGATACGATCACACATTCCAAGGGATTTACAGTATAAAGACAGTAATTTTAACCAGACAAGTCTGTGAGATAGCATGGATATTGATTAATTTTAGCTTTTTGTACCTGTTATATATATGTGTGTGTGTGTGTGTGTTTGTGTGTGTGTGTGTGTGTGTGTGTGTGTGTGTAAATTAATTGGGTCATCCAGTGAAATGAGACTCTTTAAACATTGTTTAGTTTTGATATATTTACTTTACTTTTCACTGCCTCATTGCATTTTAATAACAGTATGGTATATGTAGCAGGCGATGGACACTGGAACCAGCCACTGGTTTTGCAAGAATTTTTCCACCAGGCTGACAGCCTCTTTCCCAGTGGTGGAAAAGTCTGCCTGGCCCGTGAAGCGTGTGTGGACGGTGTTCAGCAGCACCGTGAACGGCTCTGACATTTCCACACATTCTCTGCCGTGTTACTCTTCCCGAGGCAGCAGTCTGGAAAATTCTCCCCAAGCAGTTCCGAGAACAACTTCAGTTCCCAGTGCAATATTTCATTAAATGAAATAAATTCTGTGATGCAGTGCAGCCTGTCTAACTCACAGGCAGTGGTAAGTGGCAACAGGCAAGGCATTGCCACAGACACAGAAACATTCATCCTTGCAACATGCAGGTCCTTCTGTCAAGATAATGCATTCTGTGCATACCTCAGTAAAGGGCTTCAATCAGCACTTCATTAAAGGGTAACTTTCCTCAAATCAAACAGCTACAGTAACCCAACCTTAATGATTTTACTTTTCCCAGTGATGTTTAAATCTCTAGATCCTTGTCTGTTGCACAGAGTAGCTTCATCAGTCAGATCAGTTACCAGCTACCAGACTTAATTTCCACCATTAAATGTAAGGTTCTGTTCTCAGGCCCATTAAGGAAGTGAATTGCTGATATCTAGCTAATAATTTATAATAATACAAAATACTAAAACAGATTCAAGTGCACAGTTTCATGCACTCATGTGTTCATGCAGCAACAAAAGCAAAACAAAACGTGGAACATGCAGCACTTTAACCTCACAGCTCTGAGCACTGTCTCCATGGCAGTGGCTGGATCAACCTCATTCTCTTATAGTGAGGGTGGGAAGGAGGAGGGGGGCAGGCTAGATATGCTGTTATTCACACTGAGCCACCAGAGGGCAGCGACAGGCTTGAGCGGCCAGTTTCTATGACCGTGGCGGCTTGCATTATTTATACCCTGTCATAAAGAGGCAAAATGAGCTGGGAGGAATGTGTGAGCACTGGTGAGGGAGCAGGGGGCCAGAGCAGCTGCCCCCAGGAGCTGTGTACATGCATGTACTCACACGGAGCACTATGAGCACATTTCCGGAGCAGAGCAGCAGACACAGGAGGACCGTCAGTATCGTTAACACCATGGGCACCGAGGAGACAAACCCTGGCCAGCACAAGCCTGTGTGCAGTCATTGTGTTCCAGCCTATAAACTCAGTCCTGGGGGGTAAGAACTTAGCAAGAGTGACTGCAGGCAAACACAAAAACAGCCCGTAACTAAGAGACCCAAGACTTCTACTATTAGAAATGTCCAATGAAAACAGTAACATGATGTTAAAAAGTGTTCATCCAAAACAAAGTTTGAAAAATCATTTCTCAGATGATCTCAGTTGTATGACATTAATTGATGGTGGCAAAAATAGGTGAAGTCACACCACTAAAATGAATTTGGCATCTGTGCTTGTGGTCTGAGGATGTCATGCTGCAGTGGTACTGGAGAGCAGTGTGTGTGATGTTAATCTAAGGGCTTTCCGTTATATCACTGCACAGTGTGTGTGATGTTAATCTAACGGCTTTCCGTTATATCACTGCACAGTGTGTGTGATGTTAATCTAAAGGCTTTCCGTTATATCACTGCACAGTGTGTGTGATGTTAATCTAAAGGCTTTCCGTTATATTACTGCAGGGTCCACAAGCTCTCTAATGTTCCAGACGTCTATCCGCACTTAATAGATCAATATCTTCATCCATCCATTGATCTTCCAGTTGCCCATCCTGAGCAGGGTCATGGCATGCCTGTGCAATACAGGTCACACACACAGACACACATGCAGACACACACACGCACAAACATAGGCACACACATATAAAAACACGCACACAATCATATATTATGGGCAATTTAGAAACATTAAACCCCAAATTCCTGGCAGAAACCTGCAAAAACATTGGGGCAACTTGCAGGTGTTACACATAGTGGGAACCAAACCACCAGCCTTCGATTTGTGCACCTTGGCTGTTACTCATAGTGAGACCATACTGTCCACTGTCTGCATTGTCATTGTTCCTGGCAGAATTAAATCAGAACCTCATTATTCTGCAATATTGAAAGGTGCTTTTCTATTCACTCATTTATAACCAACTTCTTGTGAATGGAAACCATATACTGCAGTCAGTAAAATCAGGATAAATGTTGGTATGACTAAATACCATCATTCAGCATGTGTTCTGCTCTTTGACATGTGCTAGTCAGTGTGCTGCTCTTTACCATGTGGTAGCCAGGCCTTGAGCCAACAGATGGTGGAACACAATTCAAAACGCTGTGCTCGGACCATACAGACAGGCCGGTCTGCCTTGCAGAGTGACACTAATGCGGCACCTCTTCTCTACTGTATTCTACTCTACTCTACTATACTCTACTCTACTCTGCTGTACTCTAAGCTAAACACTCCGGCCCCTCCTGACTGAG